TTTGCACTTGCTGTATATTTGATGAAAGTAAGAACAGGAGATAGTGATGAATGCATATAGGCATTATTGCAAGTACCAAGAAACAAATTAGAGCGGCTCATGAATATGGCCCAAGAAATATTAAATCAGGATGTTGTTCCTATGAATTTTATCCATCGTTATCACTCTCTGTGCCAAATTCTATTCAGTAATTATGATATTATATCTGAGGCAAATAATTTCTTAGCTTTCCTAGATGTTTTTGTTATCCAAAATCCTAACAACATCATAGGTCACACTGTGTATAGAAAAAAGACCCATACAAACTGATATTTAAGCGGTGAATCTCACCATAATCCTTCACAGTTAGTTACCATGAGCAAATCTTTGTTACAGAGAGCATATGGGATCTGTGAGAACAAGCACCTGGCCGCGGAGCTTCAGCACGTCAAGCAGGTTCTGCACAAAATCAAGCTTCGGGTCCCACGTCTTCGTCACAGTGACCGAGTGAAGCCGACCGCAGTTGAGCGTGTGCCTGATGTACTACCGTATGTCAAGGGTGTCACCCCAACCAGATAGACATACATCAGATTTGATAGACCACAAATCCTCGTTAAAGAACATTAATTCCTACCAAGGATGATATGTGAGGCTACTGAAATTAAAAAACATCCTAATTTCAGTAGAGAAGGCGGTTGGGTACTACCACCTGCTTGGGACACTATAATTAATAAAATTAAAACAAACCCCAAGCATACCACTGCAAGACTTAAAGATAGAGTAAGTTCAATCTGCGTAGATTGGACTATAAAAATAATAATAAAAAGCTGAAGGTACTCCATGTCCCAATACTGACATTGGGATGGCAGTCACCTCAGTACCCCGTGACCATGGGTGCTATAAAGCACCTGAAACGTCAGGAATTAATAATAATAGTATAATAATAATAATATAGCCATTTATTTCCGAACTTTGGGGTTACATAATATTTGTGTTTGAGTTCCTATTGTAATACTAGTTAAAGTAAGTCCCTCTGTTCGGTGTGCCTTTTGGCATAGGCCTCCAAAAGAAAAATCACGCGTCGGGAATTAAAAGTTAAAGAAATTAAAAGCAATAAAATTGGTAAAAGTAGTCGTTAAAAAACTGTATTTGTGAAAATAAAAAGCTTTATATCATAAAAATCCCGACTTTTTTTAAACCAATTCCTTAACCATTTCATTATTTTAATTGCATATTATCATTTCCATATGCTTTTATATGTGGGCACCCATGGCCGAAGTGTCTATGAACAGTGGGCATCCCCCTTTAAGTACAATTAGGTGGCCTCATCGTTAAACAGTAATCTCTTCCAGGCAAACCCTGGTAACGTAGTAACTACATGTTATTTATTCTGTGCGTTGGTGAAGGAGATTCGTAAATAGAAGTGTGCATAAATTGTAGATCAACGAGCATACATTAAATACATATTATAAGCTAAATAAGTACCTACTTACATGTGTTTTTAAGGTGCAATATCACTATAATATTTTTCTGTGCGGATATTATAGCCTGTTCCCATATTCTACTTAATTGAATGTGGAATCTAATCACCATTGAAGATTAGCGTGAAATTGAAGAGGTTAGTGTTTCTTATTCATACCTATATTGTAATACAAATTGTTCTTGAATATAGAGTTGTTCTTGAAATTCATGGTATTAACTGCGATTGCGCCTGGCGAATGGTGATGAAGCAGTCATAGATGAAAGTGTGCTAACATTGCTGTTTTTTATTATTAAACCGTATACTTAAATAAAAATAAACACAAATAGTTTTAAAGAAATTATAAACTTCCAAATTGTCGCTGTCAGAAATCGAACCCGGGAGTTCCCGGATTCCACCACACAGCTTCAATGTGCCAAATCCTTTTCAATTTGACGACACAATTTCAAAGAAAGGGAGCGTTAACTGGTAATTTAGAGACGGCAAAAAAACATTATATTTTAAGTAAAACAATTGTAAATTAAATAAATTATTAAATGTTATACATACTGTATTTTTATTCCTTCTTGACAGCCCTAAGTATCCAGTCAGTCTAATATACCTAGTCAGGCTAATATACCTGTAAGTACAACAACGCCCCGTTATACTGGATCATCCAGTATAACGGGGCGTTCTCCGTGTCCGTGTGGTGTCGGTTTTTTACAAAATATTAAAGGATTGTTGGCAGAGTTTGGTCGCCGCGTCCACACGTTGGCCGCGAGTTTAGTTTGCTACAAGCTCCCAGAGTGATTACACGCATCTGATTAAAATTTTATATTCACGCTTTGTAGGGTGGATGACCCAATTACCAGCCTTTATTGCCAATTTCAACTTTAAATATTCATACTACTTTAATTAGCGCGATTTAATTATTTTTAAACATTTGTTTTATTCGATAAGCTATTTATAAAAAAAATAATGAACATTTATTAACAATCAGATTATTACGAGAACAATTTTAAAATAAAAAAAAATGAAGCACGTCGTTTATACGTGGTAGAACCATGCAGTTATATTAGAAGTATAGTTGTAGCACGAATGGGTCGGTTCGACCGGGGAAGGACCACGCTCTCACAGAATATCAATGTAAAATAGTAGCTTAATGATGCTGTATTTCGTATAGTGAGTGTAGAGAACCAGAGACACTTTTTAAAGGAAACGAGGCATTTCATCTTAGTTCTCACGGGTGACAACGCATCTGCATTGTGACTCGCAATCGAGGATAGATGTAGATGTCTGTGGGCCACAGCAACCACTTACCATCAGGTGAACTGTGTGCTCGTTTCTCACCCTATCCTATATAAAAAGCGTCGATTTCTTATAATTTAATCGTGCAAGTTTTCGAATCATCATCATTACAGCTCTTCACAAGTCCACTACTGAACATCCTCCTCCAAAGAATGCCGCAAAGCATGGTCCTGAGCCACTTTCCTTGTCATGAATTTTTCATTTATGTTCTAAGTTATAATTAGTACCTATTATTAAGTCAGTGTTAATTATATTTATTGCTATTGTTTTGTCTTTCTCAAAAAATAATTAAATTACCAAATAAATTATAAGGTGTTTTTTATATACATCAAATGTCTGATAGAAAAGCAAGTACATGTTTTGCTAAACTTTAAAAACAAAACCCAATTTTAAAACATAGACTAATCGATTATAACTCCTTTAACTTTAAAATAAATTCCAGTTTCTGATGCATGTAAAGAATAAATAAAGCTAATCGTATATCGTATATCTATTTACAGCCAATACAATATTCACTATTCTTTTATAATTATTTTATAAAAACGTTACCCCTCACACTTGGATTTTCTACTGTATCGCGGAGGCAACTTACAAACATAAATTGCACAAGGACACACATCCAGACCCGAAACAATTATTTGTAGGATATACAAATACTTGTTCCGTGCGGGATTCAAACCCGCGACCCCTGGCACAGCCACTCATTGCCAAATCACTGCGCCACGGAGCCGTCGTCTAAAATAAAATAAATTCGTCCGCACATTGGCCCGAACCGAAGTAAACTGAACGACCTTCCAACGTGTGGACGCCGTCACCAACTCTCGGCCAATATATTCGCCACTACATTCGCCACTGTGTTAGCCAACGTGTAGAGGCGACATTACAGGTATATTAGCCTGACTCCAATAAAACAGACACTCTAATAGTTTATTCCTGCACACAAGTTTATTTATTTACTAACACAACACTTTCAATTCAATATTACTTACTATTACTATTATATTATATACTATTATTATTTTGCAATTACTATATTTCGCGGAGGAATTAGGGTGAGCGTGGCGCGAGCTCCCGCAGTGAATACATATCATTACTAACTAACTTGACCGGTAAAACGGGCACAAGTACTTCGATACAAACAATAATTGTTAACAATAAATTGGACGATTCATGCGGAAAAGTTAGTAAGAAGGATTTCTTAAGTGAATAATTAATTTTACATCTAGTTGTTGAATTTATACAAAAAATATTTGTTATAATTTAGAATTTTTTAGATGAAATTAATTTACTATATATTATACTATATTAACATTAAAATGTATTTAATAGACATCACCTATGCCACATCAGAAATTAATTACTAATAACAGAAAAACTTCGAGGAAAATGTTTTACGGATGCCAAGGAAGCAGTGGCTCCGTTTCAAAATGCCGTTGAAGAGACCCCTAAGTACAAGTGGGCAAAGTGCTTTTCTCAGTGGATCCATCGGACGCAGCAATATATTGATGTAAATGGTTATTATTTTGAAAAGATATAATAAAAATAATAACTTGCTAGTTTGTTCTGTTTTTGATTTTCTAAGAACTTACAATGTCACCCTCATAGCACCCTTGTTTATCATATTTCTTTTTAAATACCGCAATCTAGTTTTAAGTTTACCTGAGTTATTTATTTTGAGTTTAAAATGTAATGAACACGTTTTAAATATTTTTACATTACATTACATTTTAATTAATTTATTTTGCAACCATCCGCTAACTAAATACAATGATGACTAAGACTTAGCGGTCAGAAGCCGTAGAGTCTACATAACCTGAGGATGCCTTGTGCAGAGGCGAAACATGTGTCGTATACGGTCGATGGTGTCTTTCCTGCAGTAGTGGTGCCGGGAGTAGTGGTGTTGGGAGTAGTGGTGCTGGGATTAGTGGTGACGGGATTGGTGCATGCAATTGAGAGAGGCTGTGAGGTGCTCTTCAATCCAGATAAGACACATAATTGTATTTAGTTAGCGGATGGTTTTAAAATAAATTAATTGTTATCTTTATTATAATGGATTTCTGCAAAGTTACACCTGATTCTATCATATTTTAAATACCTTAAAAATACTGAATGAAATGGGGGTGAATGATTTATTTCCGAGTATTACATGTCAGAGACAAAATGTTCAATTTTGAAGACAATGACTAACAATACGTTATATATGTTGCATATAAGAGTAATTAACACAGGAAACCACGTGTGGATTACAACTAACCTGAAAATCTGTCACTGCCCTCGCTCTGGGTTGTGCAGAATTCACTTGATGCATTCTCCTGGTATGCTTCTAATTTTACCTCTGATGGCAAGTGGTTCTGAAACCAAACAAAATTATTTACATAGAATTTCATATTTATGGAAGACCTTGATGATTATTATTCCACTACCAGCAAAAAACATAACCATAAATAACAATATAAATTTACTCATGGGAGTTGTGACGTGGTAAATCGTAAATTTAAACACACGCGCACAGAGTTCCAACCTCACCGGTACCAATGAAATTGCAAATTGCAATTTTAAATGCTTATTTACCACCTAGGAACATTATAGACCTTCAAGAAACGAGCTAACTCCTTTTTAGAAGGCTGACAACACACCTGCAATGGTGTTGCAGTTGTTCATGTCGGTTAGTCCCCCTCTTCTATAAAAGAACCTCATGCTCATTTTTAAAGGCAAACAGACTGAGGTGACCTGAAAAAAGTTTTGCGGTAACACATAAAAATACAGTTGAATTGATTACCTCCACCCTTTTTTAAAATCGGTTGAAAATAATTTTAAAATTAAGAGAAAATGCATTGTTCATTCAGCCAATTAACAACTATTATAAGTAGGGTCTCAAACAGGGTGTAACCCCCAACCAGAGTCACGTCACATGGTAATTTTGGTAATACTACTAGTTTATTTATATTGGTATATTCTTATCAATCATGCGTGGCATTTATCATCTACATGGTGGAGGACAAATTTTGCCACGGCAAGCCAATTCCCAAACTCTTTTTTTAACAGCATTTATTAACCCACTGATGAAAATAGCCTTTTTCATGCTGCTGTAACTTAAGGCCTTGACAGGTTTACCCATACTAACTCATACTGGGTCGGTGAGTTAGTGAGTACTGGTCCAATATTCTCATCATCATTTTCCATAGTCCCGTTGCTTTTTACAACATCCATGGGATAAAATCAGACAATGGATTCTATTGCTCTTCCACCACAATGAAATGTATAAATATAATATTTATTTTGTTATGACTAGCTGCTCAAATGATGTTTTTTATATAGATTAAGGGTGACAAACGAGTACACACTTCACCTGATGGTAAGTGCTGTGGCCGATAGTCATCTACATTTATTCTCGATTCAGAATCAAAAAGCAGATGCGTTGTCACCCCTGAGGACTAAGATGGAAAGCCTTGTTTCCAGTAAAAAAAGTTCTACGGATCTCTACACTCACCATACGAAACACAGCAGTATTAATCTGCTATTTATGCTGGTATTCTGAGAGTGCGGGTCCTTCCCCAGTTGAGCTGACCCATTCGTGCTTCAACCATAATATAGCTGCAGCATGGCTCTACTACGTATAAATGTTTAGTTTCATGACAAATAAAGGGTGATCATTGAATAGATGGCCATGTGAGTATGATCATTAGATTTTTTGAAAATGATAAGTTTTGAAACTGTGTTTATAAAATATCATAATATACTTATTTGATTTTTGACAGACTAAGTGTTCTGGACTGACTACCCGGATGACTTTGGATTGGAGATTGATTTTTTTGGAAATTACATTTAGATACAAATTACATACTGATGAAAAAAATCATGAGTGCAATTAGTTTAATTAAAATTTTCGTATTTTTAAAAAAATTAAAAAAAGGGCTCGAAATAATAGATTTTCTCACAAAAGAAGGAAACTTGAAAAAAAAAAGTAAAAAATATCAGACCGAAGACAGGACGCGAACCGAGGCATTACGATTTCGAGACCGCTCAATATCCACTTGAGCTATTACGATCATTAATAAAGTGTCAAAATTTACCTTATATTGTAGCAGTTTTTGTACAAAAAGACATTTTCTAAAAATAAATTATAGCTAGATCGATTTATTGCCCCCCGAAACTCCCCCGGACACAAAATTTTATGAAAATCGTTGGAGCCGTTTCCGAGATTCCGATAATATATATATATATATATATCAAGAATTGTTCGTTTAAGGGTATAGGATATATATATATATATATAATTTTGTATTTATGTACATATTTTTGTTAATTATAGTATTTATGTATATGCATACATAAGCACTCACTCCTGTCACCCAGATGGGTAGGCAGAGACTACAGACTTCCATTTGGCATGATCCTGACACACCTCTCTCGCCTTCTCCACATCTATATACCTACTCATACATGCTCGTCAGTTAAGGGTACTCTTAATTTGGCCCATTTTGAATATATCGCCAATTTGGTCGACAAACTTTCGCCTAGGGTGTTTATGTATATACATATAATTGCATCTGTCACAAAATCTTACCACTCCACAAGTTCACTGGAAGAGAATGCCGATAGGCATTAAGACCGCTCTTTGTAACCCAATTTATTAGGGTGTAATCAAAACATTAAAAAATAATAATATACCCACCGATAGTTCATTGCTGTAAGCAACAACAGTACTTCTGGTCTTTTTCCTCCCAAAGTGGGGACCTAAGATTACCAGAGCCCTCTTCTCTAATTTAGTTAACGGTCTCATTCCTTTTTTTGATGGTGATCCAGATCTCTTTCTCTTCTTTAGTATACTCACTTTGTTTTTTAGTTTATTCTTAAAATCACTCCAATACTGAAACAGTGTCCCCTTAAAATTATTTGAAACATTTAAGTAAAAAATGAATAATGAAATACATTATGTTACAGTAGGGCCATGTCCAGTAGCATAGTTATATAACTAAAGGCCCCGGGACAAAAGTGAAATTGGGTCCCTATTTTAACTTAATACTATATATAAAGGTGTAAAACTAATTTATCAGCAGCTCCTTATTGCCCAATTATCACAAGGAACTAGGTCTTAATTGTTAAATTTTAGATGTCTCTGACTGCATTAGATTGTTTACAGTAATTTCAATAGTCAACTTCTTAAGATAACAATTTCTGTTAATATTTCTGTTAATGTTCAAGGCTGAAACATAACATTTTAAGTAGATTTGATGCTAAATAGCTTCCACATTTTTTGTATTTTTTTTTTCAAAAAGACCTTACCACAGTTGGCCGCAGATAGTTTTAACCCGGCGAGCATGAGCCAGGGTATCACACACCCTGATAAAATTTCAAGGTAGTGTATTTTTTAAAATCCTCACCTGGAAACTCTAACTCGCTCAGTAGCAGGAGTGCTGGGCGCGTGGGGCGGGTTAGTGGCGTGATCGCAGTGTGGCGTGGGACATTGGCCTGTTATATTCGTGGCCAAACTTGTCTCGGGTATGTTATACCCTGCCTCATTTTTGACGTATTTTTGTTACGAAATGATTTGATCATGAATTATGATTGTTTTATTAGTTTTTTTTGACGATTTTAGTATAAAAATTTGTAGTTCATTCATTTATACTGTGTTATGTTAGTCACAACAGTAAACGATGGGTTACGAGTTTATTATATGGTATCTTGCACATGGCAGCTATCAATTTTTGCACTATATATCGAGCAAACAAAAATGTCACAATCAAGAGAATGGAATTCATTCGTAATTTGGGCTTATTAATGATTTACGAACACCTACATTCAAGAAAATCAAAAAAGCATATTCTAAGCTACATCTGCCAGCGAATCTTAAAACAGTTCAGTGATCTCTCGCCAAGACATGTGAATATACCCGGGCGATTTGTCAGATGTCAGGATTGTCCATACAAGAAGGATAGAAAAACCAAATATTTGGTTTTACCAAACCCATAAGTATGGGGCACTCAAAATTTATTTGCGAAAATTGTGCTGATCTCGACAGTGGTGATTATTCATAATTTTTAATTAAAAAAAAGTTTTTTTACAAGGAGGATCTCACTGTGTTTTAATTTTAAGTTGATTTACACTCCAAAAAATAATATTTTTGTTAAATTATAAATTTTTGTAAGTCCTTAAACTTTGGTTTCTATAATTACAAAGTTTATAATATACCTGATTATATAATAATAATTTCACAATTACGAACTTGTTTCATTTAATTCTATTAAATCATTCATTATTTTACATAAGAAAATCATCAAAGTAAAAATAATAATAATAAGAACTTAAATATGGTACATTAAATTATGGGTATGTCCCACCCTGCCACATTCTCGATGTAACTTTTTTTAACCTCATGCTCGCTGCGTTAACTGATTCGACTGAGAGGGCCACTACAAATGGTAATCTCTGCAAAACAAGTTTAGTAATAACTAGCAGATGGGCACGGATCTCAGGTTAGATTGTAGTTACGAGGCGTGTGATTCGAAACAGAAATAGACCATCTTGTTCAAAGTATTTAACTAAAGCATTGCTCACAAATCTACTTATTTACTTTTACTAGCATTTTTCTTTAGTTGATCATATTTTGTAGAGAGTTAAAATAGCATAAAAAGACAACAAACAGCTTTAAACAAACCTTACTCCATCCATCTGAAGTCTTTCGGGTGCCGGTACGACAGTTGTTTAAAATTTTTGTGAGTTCTCCCCACAAACGTTTGGAATTATGACGTGCTTCTAGTGAACGCAAATTACCGGTTGCAAATTCTACATGTTGTCCCATGAAGTCTATAATAGATTTTACCTGTTCGTACGCTACGTGCCGTGAGGGACCCGTCATTACAGACATATTCTGTGCTGATAAAAAGGGTTTACAACACAACAAACAGAACTTTTAATTTTGCGTATTAATCCCACATTTTAAAGCATAGAGGAAAGTAATATATTTTTAAAGTAAGCTTCACTTAAACTGCTTTAAACAATCTAAACAAACCAAAACCATAGATAATTAAATATGTAGCAAGCTAACTGAAACAACGTAGACAGTTTCTCTGTCTACGTGAAAACTCTTCGTGAATGGGTGCGTTTGGCAGAAAAAAGCGCTAGCAAGCGCTTGTAAGCAAAATGGCGATCGTAAGCGGTAAGCGCTATCAAATCGTAAGTAGCTATTTTCCTCCAGGACACGATGTTAGTTTTAACCGGGGAACCTAACCTAATTTAAATATATGTTTGTAAAGTATTCATATTAAAAACTTACCGATCATGAATTTTTAATAACATGTATATGTTTATTCTTGTCAATATATTACTTAAAACTAATATTGCACAAAACAACTTATAAACTCTACTTCAAAACAAACAAATTAAATAAGCAAAATGGCGGATTGTGTCAGCGCTACTGAAGTAGCAATCGTGTCCTGGCCGAAAACTATTTCAGCGCTTGTAAGCGCTTGCTAGCGCTTTTTTCTGCCAAACGCACCCATTGTGATGCAAAGAGTATAGTAAATATTGTGATTTGAAAGTTTGTTTACTTTTTGTTGTTGTTGTCAATATCTTAAAAAGCTCAATACTTATTACATACTTACGTTTGTACTCTTATTAGTTTGTGTACATACTCTTTGGAGGTGCTGCTAGATCAAAAAACTTATTCACGGCTAAAGACACAAAAAACGCTGGATTTCATGAAAACACCGCTTTTAAAAAAGCGCTAGATTTCGCGCTAAATTAACTACGTATTTTCTAGAATATAAATTATAAAAAAATTTATGGGGGATGAGTCGCTCGCGTCCGTAGGCTTCGACCACTTAACCTTAGGCCCACCATACACGTATCCCCCGGGTGGTGCTACAAAGCCGAAATAATAGACTCGCTCCTCGCCGTACGGTAGCGGCGTAGTAGGTGAGAATTGGGGCTTCTGCGTCACTTGCTCTCGCTTCGCTCGATCTACATGCCGCTGAAGACTCCAATTCTCTCCAGTAGAGGTACAAAATTTTTAGTTTAACCAAATTAACGTCTTCATACTCACAGTTCTATCCTGCGGGAATAAGTGTACTTCCACTTCCAGTTGAGTTATTGAGCATTATATTCAGAGCGTTTGTGAGATACTGCTGGTATTGACGCATCTATATGATTAATTTCTAATAATACAACTTGTTTAGCCTAACTTCGTTGTAGTTAGTGCTAATAAATGTTTTTTTTGGATAGTTCATTAGCAACATCTATCGTATTAATATAAAACATCTATAATTTCTTCTTTATGGTCAGATTTTAACGTGGTAGAGCCATGCTGCAATTATATTAGTAGTATAGTTGTAGCACGAATGGGTCGGCTCGACCGGGGAAGGACCACGCTCTCACAGAATACCAGCGTGAAATAGTAGCTTAATGCTGCTGTATTTCGTATGGTGAGTGTAGAGAACCGGAGACCCTTTTTACTGGAAATGAGGCATTCCATCTCAGTCCTCACGGGTGACAACGCATCTGCATTTTGATTTGTAATGGAAGATAGATGTAGATGTCTATGGGCCGCAGCAACCACTTACCATCAAGTGGACTGTGTGCTCGTTTGTCACCCTATCCTATAAAAAAAAAAAAAGATGTGTGAAACTAGGCTTATGCTAATGTAACTGATAGAATCGATCGTTACGTTGCGGAAATCCATTATAATAAAGATATTAATTAATTTGCAACCAACCGCTAACTAAATAAAATGATGTGTCTTACCTGGATTGAAGAGCGCCTCCCGCCCTCCCTCAATTGTTTCATTATTGTTTTATTCTCATAGCGAGTGCACGTTGATTACAACGCTCATCAAATATCATCTATATTGGTGAGTTTATTCAACTTTTTTTACTATTTAGACATTCAGCCGCCATTACCTTTTTTTGACTTCATACTTGTTTTTGTTAATTGCAGATCATGGCCAACACTGAGGAACACAATGATTCTAATCCCATCACTAATCCGTATTATTATGCACAAGATGAGGATAAATTTACACTAAATTATTACAACCGAAAGGAGCAGATTCACAATTTACCACCAAATAGAATAGCTATTAATGAAGAGCGGCCATCGAAATTAAAGAAATGTTACAGGAAGAGAAACCGTTCTCAAGAATTATCATCATACATTATCCGCCGAGATAAAGATAAACGAGGGCATCGTCTGATTAAAATCAGCATTTGCGAACTTAACGAGCAAGAAGAAAATGTCATCCACGATCTAAGTGCTAATATAAGTGTTCAATATGTTGTGGATTCAATGTATGATGAAGCGTTAGATGCTACAAATTGTCTTATAAAAAAATAGGTGAAAAATTATGTGAGAACTAGTAATTTAAGTAATGTAGCTTGTAAAATATAATAAAAGTTATACATTGAATTTTATTGTTGTTTTATTATGTATCATTATTATTCAATTGTGTAGAGGAAAAAAGAAAAGACATTTATTGTTACAACGAATGTATTTATTAAAACATTTTTTTTTAAATTATTATGAATACAGATCAGTTTATTACAATAAAATATAGTTTTTTGCATAGAATAATAACATATTCTATGGTTTTTTGGTTGTTAGACTTTGAATTTTAGTTTTATAGCTTTATTTTGATTTTAAGTACCTATGTTTATGTTATTAAAAGTATTAAGCCGGGTACCAAATATTTCTAAAAATAAATGATAAAACACTTATTATATTACTACACTAAAATATAGATCAGTTTATTATAATAAAATACAGTTCAGATTTAGACTTTTAGTTTTATGGTTTTTTATTTCGATTTTTCGTTTTTATCTGAATTTGAATTAAATTTTTTTGTTTTTATTTCGATTTTCGATTTTATCTAAAAGCAACAACACGTAGGTAAGTAACACTGATTAAATAAAACACTTATTATATTACTACACTAAAATATAGATCAGTTTATTATAATAAAATGCAGTTCAGATTTAGACTTTTAGTTTTATGGTTTTTTATTTCGATTTTTCGATTTTATCTGAATTTGAATTTAATTTTTTGTTTTTATTTCGATTTTTCGACTGTATCTGAAATTGAATTTAATTTTTTGTTTTTATTTCGATTTTATCTGAATTTGAATTAAATTTTTTGGGTTTTTATTACGATTTTATCTGAAAGCAACAACACGTAGGTAAGTAACACTGATTAAATAAAACACTTATTATATTAATACACTAAAATATAGATCAGTTTATTATAATAAAATAAAGTTCAGATTTAGACTTTTAGTTTTATGTTTTTTAATTTAGATTTTTCGATTTTATATGAATTTGAATTTAAATTTTTGTTTTATTACGATTTCATCTGAAAGCAACAACACATAGGTAAGAACACTGATTAAACTATTAAACTAGCCCTTAGTTGGATACAAAACTGGACGAGCGTTGTGATAATCTTCTTTGATGCATGATACCAACTGGGTAACAGCCTTCCACGTTGAGGCTTTTTCATCGACAGCTGATTTAAAGCTGATCAGAGAGTGCTGCCATCAGTCAGCTGATGGAATAACCTCCAGCTCGCGGAAGTTAGAGATACGCACTTCGATGTAATATTCTCCTCGCTTTGAAGGCTCGCTCCGGTGCATATATCCCGAATCTGTTCGGTATGATAAGTAGCATTTTAAAATCTGGAAACAATAAAAATACTATTTATACAAAAGCATACTGATAAGCAATGAACAATAGTTATATTCCCTCTTAACCCGCATGAATATATTTTTATACGATGCTCATAACATGACTTAGTAGTACAATTCACTAACAATTGTATCAATCACATCGATCGTCTAAGAATATAATTAAATACGTTTTCATAAAGAAAATTAACCTATGACTGATAATTTATTCACAACATCCAATCAAATAGAAACTAACTTTTCATCATGTGAATGGTAACTCAAACTATTAAAATGAAATAAGATTTGCTTACCTCAGAATCTGGAAAAAGGTTTAATTTACGTTTCCTGCTGGTCGAAGCCGGGGTGAGTGATGTCATGTCAGCATCAGATTCCGACTCGCTTCCGAATAATTCAACTCGTTTCTTGGACTTAGGAACTGTTGTTTTAGTCCTTAATACATTAGCTGGTTTCTTAACCGCTTTCTTCTTTTGCGAAGTCGACTGTACTTCAGCGTCTGACTCGAAGGGGTTGGAATACCTAAAAACGTAATACAAATAAATCACTATACAGGAACACTCATATGAAAACTTATAAAGCGAAACATAATATAACTTTGCTCTAACATAATATAACAAATTAATTATTATTCTATTGTATTTAATGAATGAGGAGACTAAGTGTTACGTACATACTTGCTGTCTTGATGATGATGTCGAACACTTCCACAGTCTAGTAGACTGTGGAAAACACGATGCAACTAATGGTTAAACACCTTTTTTTTTGCGCCCGAAGCAATTAAAGGGCTACCCTATCCCGAATTGATGGGGAATGATGAGAGGGTCACCGTCTGTGGGAAACAGATAGCGCCTCATACGTGATTGGATGACTATTTCGAAGAGCTTGCCCATTGCCTTGAGGAGGCTAATGGGGCGATGACTGGAGGGGAGGTTAAGAGGCTTGCCTGGCTTGGGAATTCCTATCACAGTTGCCTCTTTCCACGTAGTGGGAAAGTAGCTAAGGTTGAAGCAGGCGTTGAAGATAATAGATAAAAAGGTTAACACCTGCTCAGGAAAGTGTTTTAGGGCTTGGTTGGAGATGCCATCCGCGCCCGGAGCCTTTTTAGGCTTAAGTCCTTTGATGAGGGATGA